GTCAAGTGGGAAATTTACACAAAACGAGGGGCTCAGATATGAGCTAAAACTGTGCAATGGAAAAAGTCATCCACTGTTGTCCCATAAATTACAACTCTTTTGTCGATGATAAACTTCTATGTTTATACAACAACACAAAATGGTACACCAAAAGTTATGATATTAAATATAGGAACGACAATGTTGATATAATATGTTTCAAGGTAATATACATCTATTTGGCCAAAACAAATAGAGTAATATTCATTTATTTATACGTAAAATTATATTCTAATCCTTTTCTAAGATTATTTTTTGAATAAAACCTTGTCTAAGATTAAAAACTAATTATAATTCTTGGCATTTAATTGTAATTTTTGAATATTAAATAGGTTGTAATTATTATTGAGCTTTTTGTTTGCAGGTTATATATTGATTCTCATAAATAATAAAAATGTTATTTATTATTGATAGTTATTATTAAGTTCACATAATAAGAAAAGTCATATATTAATATATATTTTTCATTGTGCGTGAATTTCTCCATATATATATATATATATATATGTATATTACATACATATGTATGTTTATAAACTGTAGTTATGTACCAATACATTTGTACCGATATATTCATACCAAAAGTTATGTACCGATACATTTGTACCAAAACTTATGTACCAACACTTTTGTACCTATGAGTAAAATAAGGTACCTAAAATTATTTACTGATACATTCGTACCAAAACTTATGTACCGATACTTCCGTACCTATGAATAAAATAAGGTACCAAAAGTTATGTGTAAATTGTTTATGTTTTGTTGTTGAATTTTTTTTTAAAATAAGAATTTGAATTTTGAATACATTTTTATCTATTAATATAAATGGAACAAAAAAAAAAATTAATTATGGATGGATAAAGAATTTCGAATGGTAAGTTTATAAATAATAAATGTGCTATAATTACTTAAATATGGTAAGTTTTAAAATAAGGACTTATAATAATTTTGAAAACCATTCAGGTTAAAATCTAAAATCAATCTTATTGAAGCCCTAAAATCTAAAAACCCCTTATTTATATTATGACACTCAATGATGAAGTTACTCACAAAGGCTGCCATAAAATTTTTGCCTCCACCCTTGATGGCACGTAGTCGTGAAATGCTTTGTGTTTTTAAAATAATTAAAAACACTTTTGGTGAATAATCCTAACTAAAAATGCTAGTAAATCCTTAAAAACACTTAAAGTTCTTCTTGAAAGAAACACATAACTGGTGCTTCTTGTAGAAAGTATTTTAAGTGCTTTTGGAATCCAAGAAACATTTTCTCTAAAAACGTTTTCAGTTATTTTAAAAGCACATCAAAACAAGCCCTTAGTCTTTTTAAATGAATCGTAGTTGGTGAGTAACCAGTTCATCAGCTCGCTTTCGTCTCCAAGTGATTAGTCAAATGATGTTACTAACATAGTTTTACAACTAGCTAGGTTTATGTTAAGAGTTATACATGAAAATGAGATGCCAAAACTGGAAAGGGAAATAATACAAGCCATGTACGTTGATAGTAGTAATTGTTTACGTACCTACACACACAATGCTGCTACTGCTAATGATTACACCTCATCACAAGCTATCACGTGCTAGCAAGTAAACTAGATTAGTGCATTAATTTATCATCAATCAAAGCAATTAAGCTTTCCGATCAGTTTATGGAAAATACAAGTAAGAAATCATCTACGGTGTTGATAAGATCATTCATAGCATGGTGAAGATATTCTATGAAGAAGAAGAATGCTGCTTTTAGTCATATCACTTGAACTATATATTAAGACCGTGTTAATAAATTGTTTTATTATAACTGGCCATACTTGTCCATTGTAGAATATTCATAACATGCTGACTAAACCTGTGGTAAATGGTCACTTTTTATAATGGGCAATTAATTAATGTCTGTTGTAAAATTGATACGGTAAATAAGTTGTGTTCTTATAATGTCTTGTCATCAATTAATGTGTGATATACACATCATCTAAAAAACGGACCATAGTCAACTGACTGTAGGTGGTAAATTACAACACGAAGCAAGGTTTAAGTTGTTAACTAATAATGAATTGTTTTTAGATTAGATGTTAAATATCTACACCCCCTACAACAAGTTCAGGTAATATTTAAGGAAATTTCTCTTAAAAGTGATCATCATTAACGTGTGTAAATAAGTCATGTGATCGTCTGACTCACCTATTCGACCAAAACATGGTAAGTATAAGAATTAATTACTAAATATATAATATGAGAAATTAACTTTAAAAAAAATCACAAATCCCAAATTTTTTTTTATTGAAATAAGTTCGGAATACTCCGAAAACTTCGGATCAGAAATTCCAAATATTTGGAATCTATAAAGCATCCCATTTCCGTTTGAAATTTTTCGAAAATATTCGAGTTTAGAGTTTTACTGGCAGAATAAAAAATTTTACTAGCGGAATCAGAAATAATATTTCAACTTGTACCCCTAATGTAAACACATAAATACACTAGAGACGACGTTAGAATTTAAAAATGGGGCTGGCTGAATTTTATTTTATTTCTAAAAAAGTGAATTTCATCTTGCCGCATCAAATTCAGGAGCATCGAATTCAGGACCGCTCGCATTTTTTTTGTTTAATAATAGTTAACATAATGGTCATGGTACCCCTTTGTAATTTTACCTCGATACATGGATGACTTTGTACATGGCACGTCTATGTGTATTACACACAACTTTTTATTATACTTCAATTTTCCATATGAATAATGAGTTAAATTACACGTTCCTTTGAAACTCCAACGCAATTGTTCTGTATTATGAATGTAAGTAAACCATATAGCAAGTATTATAATATAAGTTACAGCTCTTTTTATCGATGAACGTAAGTGAACGTCAGTAACATCATCCACTGTTTTTCCATGAATTACAACTCTTTTTATCGATGAGTATTTTTATGTTTATGTAAAACACAAAATGTATACCAAGTATTATAATATAAGTCAACGATAATCGCTTTAAGGTAATTTTGACACCCAATGACGGAGCCACTCACAAGGGCTATCATGGATATTTTAACAAAAAATACCAATAATTTTGTGAATATTTTAAACACTAATAATGACAATAATTACTTATCCAAATGCACCTCCTTGTAGATAACTTTATACTTTATCTAATTCAAAAAACTTATGGTTTGTATTCTATTTTTAATGTGTATTTGTCTTGCTCGAAAATAAACTAATTGCATAAAGTTTGCTTATAAAATTTTACACATCTTCATTCTCAAGAGACAATATAGCATTATTACTCACACAGACGCTTAAGAAAAAGTTATTAGACCTTTTAGCTAGCCCACCCGCAGTTGGTATGCACGTTTTTGATACACTAAAAAATTTCTCTTATTTTCATAGTTTTTAGTCCCTTTTAAATGATCCAATGACGAAGTTAGTTTGAACTAGTTCAGCTAAGCTTTCGTCTCCAAAAAATCAAATGAACGAAAAATTCTAATTGTTAAAACAGTTGCAGTGTTCCATACTCCGTGATAGAATAGAAAATTCCTCCTTTACATGGATCAATGAAGAAGTTAGTTTCATCTTGCTTTCGTCTCCAAGTAATTAATCAAATGATGTTAGTAACGCAGTTCACAAATAGCTAGGTTTAGGTTTGAGAGTTATATGTGGGAATGGGATGCTAAAACTGGAAAGGGAAATAATACAAGCAATATGCCAAACCTGTAATTTTACTCACTCCCTATCGGCAGCCCTCTCTCTCCCCCATCTGTCTTTCGCTCTTCTTTCTTACATATTACATGAACTAGGAAAACACTCACCTCTTTGTCCCTTTCCCTCTCCTTTTGTTGTCTCTTTTTATTTTTATTTATTTTTATTTTTATTTTTTTTTAACGTAAGACTAAGATCACCAAGCTTAGAATTTGGTTTTCTTCTAAGCATCGGAAAAAGCAGTTTTTGATGTCGCAGAGTATGAATAATGTGTTAAATTACACCTTTTTTTTTTTGATTATTTTTTATAACTCCAACGTACTTATTCTGCATTATGAATGTAGGTCACGTTTTGTACACATTATTTCACAAAGTTTTTAATAATACAAGTAAAATGTTACATTTTTTTTTAAAGAAAAAGAATATAATAAACAAATATTAATTTTTTTTAGGGGAATTTTAACAAAACACTTTTAGTACTGTTCACTTTTAACGAAAAATCACATTTTTACTTTTTTTTTATACTATTCACTACACCTTTATTTGTCTTTTTTCATTAATACTAAAGTTTTTTTTTGAACTTTTCGTTATTTTTTTTAAAGAATGAGCCGAATAATACACACATATATTTACATACTATATATACATATTTAATGGGTCGGTTTAGTGAATTTTCAACTTTTATTTTACAGAAAAAATAATCTAGCCAGAACTTACTTTTTAATAATTCAAACTAAATTTTAACCCAAACTATTAAATAGAAAAATACTATTTCTTACTTAAAACCTAAATTTTAAGACACGTTTGAATAAGAGAATGGAGACTGGAGATGAAGAGGAGTTGACAACACTCATTCCTTCCTCAGACTGAGAGAAAAGACACATCAAAGGCACAACCATTTTAAGTTCATAAAATAATAATAAACTTGTGAACTTTCTGATCCTCTTCCCAAAGGCAGAAGAAGTCACTTTCTGATACTAAAATTGGAGTACGAGTAGCTAGCTTCAGATTTCTGCCCCAACACCAAAAAGGGTAACTTAATTTAATTAACTAGCTGTGCCTCTCTCTCTCTCTCTCCTCCCTCTTTCTCTCTCATGAGGAGTAAGCAAAATTACAGAGCCAAAAAGTTTTTGCAATTTTGATCGACAAGAGTTTGAAGCTTTCTTTTCAGAACCAAAAATCACATTCAGAAAAAACCATTAAAAATGTAAAACCACTCTTTCTTACAAAGTTACCAACACACTCTCTGTTTTTGTTTTTGTGTCGTGATCACGACAATGTCGACAATGTCGAGTTCCGTGATTTTTGTTGGTCTCCTGATCGGGTTTCTGGCTTTGAGTTGTGCTCAGCTTCTGCCTCTGGAAGAAGGTCAGCACAAACTAAACCATCATTTTCCTTCTCGCTTTAAATTTCTCAACTTTTACTGCAAATATGGATGTTCTTGAATAATTTTGGGTTTTGTGAAGATTTTTGTTGCTTTGTGAGGATGGTTGCAGTTGGTTTTGTGTTGTGAGAAATGCTCCGCTCTGTTTGGTTCCTGGGAAAATTCTTCTCGGAAAGCAAAGAAATTTGGAATTTTCCTCATTGTTTGTTTTTGGACTTGTTACTCTGCATCTGTGTCTTCTCTGTTTCAGTTTCTATTTTTAGAAATTTCAAACCCTAGGAGATTGCCATCAGGCATTGCTAAGATAAAGCATGAAGCTTTCAAATCTTCTTCTGAACCCACGAAAATGGAGGTTCTGTCCATTTTCACGCTTTCATATGATTTCATTGAAAAATCATACTATGTAAACCTGGACTGGACATTTTGTTTAACACTAATTATGGAGGTTCTGTCCATTTTCATGCTTTCATATGATTTCATTGAAAAATCATACTATGTAAACATGGACTGGACATTTTGTTTAACACTAATTAGGGTTTTGAGGCGTTGGGTTTATGGTTTAGGTCTCTCGCCGGCATCTCATTCGCCTAAGGCCGGCGACTTCCCACCGATCAGAATATTTCCGACGCACACACGACATGAGTAGACTAAAACTCCGACATACCGATTTGGACCGAATGAATATGTCATAGAGAAACTTTGGGCTTGCGCTCAACGGTCGAGATTAAATCCTCTCTTCAGCCCATCCGTTAGTTAACCCATATATTCAGGCTCATTATCTATAGCTAATTTCCATGTTTGCTAGTCCATGGAAATTGGAATTGGGCACAGAACCACTTCTTTTAAACAAAGAATATTTACTTTAAATAATCCAAAATAATTGGGTGATTTGAATTTGGTGAATAGAGGGAGAGTACATTTGCTCTAGTCGATATGGCTACCATTGTTTCCTCAACTAAATTGTGTTAATGATACAACGCCTAAGCACTCGGCGTCAAAATTGACGGCAAAGGGTGGTGATGGCATAAAGTAAGAAAATAGCACATCGGTTTGGAGTGAGTTTGGTTGTTTCTTTAGAGATACTCTTATAATTTTATAATCTAACATTTCATTCTTCTCTACATCACTATCATTTCGTTTTGTTTTTACATTTTTTCATGAATTTTTTATAAAAAAAAAAAAAATTACAAGCAAAAAGAGAATTTGGGAAATTGCTACTGATTAGTATAAAAGTTTCAAAATTTCCACAATCTTTTCCATCGTTGTATTTCTTTAAATGCAGAGGAATTGAGTTTTTATAACTTCTTTACCCTGATTTACTAAACCAATAGACATAATGGTTCTTAAACAATTTATATGAGTGCAACTTGCATAGTTTGGCAGTAAAGGATTTATCTGTTTGATTTGTAGTATATGTTGATTGCCTCACAAGCACCAAAAATTGCATAGTATGGTAATTTCTTATTACCAATAATTAAATGACGTGGCAATTTTTATTGGTTTAAACATGTACTTTTATGTTGGTGTGGCAATTCTTACTGGTTTAAACATGTACTTTTATGTATTTCTGAGCAACTGAGTTGCAACAGGTGAAGGATTTTAGCATTGTTTTTAGGAGTAATTAGGTTTTCATCCTTATTTTTACTACTCTATTGATTAAAACCTTATTACTTTTCAATTTTTGATCAAGGTCCTTTGTATTAATAATATCATTAATTATTTCAATAATAAAATATTTTTTATTTCTAAATATATTCATTTAATATTAAAAATATTACAATTAGTATATTTATATTTATGGCTAAATTTTTTATCATATATTTTTATTTTTAGTTTGTACCCATTTTTAATTTGCAACCCTTTTTTAATTTGTACCAATTTTCCTTTCAGTTTTAATTTGTACCCATATATTAATTTCTTTTTGTGCCCATATTTTTTAAAGTTTTATTTGTATTGTACCCATATTTTTTTATTTATTTGTACCCATTTTTATTTTTGCTAAATGTACCCATTTTGAAGAATGTACCCATGTTTTGATACAATAATTTTTTGGTTATTTTTTATGAATGTACCCATGTTTACACACACACACACAATAGTATATTTATATTTTAATATTTTTAATCCCACAAATTATGGTTTTTTATTTAAAATCTCATTACTATAAACAACTATAAATTTTAATTTTTAATTTAAAAAATATAGTAACGTACATAGAAATAAATTATCAATTAATTTCAGGGACTTGGATCAAAAATTGAAAACCAACAAGGTTTCAGTCAAAGACTATTCATAACTAGGGACCGCATCCAAAGTCTCCCTTGTTTTTATTCAATTAGGCCTTTGTAGGGTGAACATGTATGGTCGACCATGCCTTTTTCATTGCATGTGAT